AACTCGGGGCTTCAGTACTCACTGTTGCCCTCCCAATACTTTCTGTCTCTCTTTTTTTCCTTAATCCTCACTCCCCCTTTCAGGACCATTCGACTCGTCCGTCGGCAGGCTCCGACAGTTTTTTAACCCACAATTCAGAGGCATCAATTCTTCTCACTTCCTTATTCGTCCCTGGTCTAGCTCTCACACGCATGTGAGGCAGTTGAACCACCGGGCCGCGGCTGGCGTTCGGCAGGCCTTCCACGAGTTCTCTCCGCTCTCCTAACCCTGGCAACAGGCCCTGGGCAGCAGCTTTGGGTTCTTGACCGCTGCTTCCTTCAGCCCGGATCGTGGGTTCTACTGAAATGACATCCTGGGCAACGTCTGTGTTTTCTCTGTTTCCCGGCATGTTTGCTGATTTCTTTGTGAGGACTTTTGTTTTCTTTAGGTTGAAGTGTAATTCATCCAGGCAGTTGTCTCGGCTCTTCATCAGTAAGGACTTCCGGTCCTCTTGGCTTTCAGCAAGCAAGGTTGTGTCACCTGCCTCATTCTTCCCCCAATTCCGATGCCTTATTCTTCTCCATATGGTCCAGCTTCTCCGATGATTTGCTCAGCACACAGACTGAAGAAGGATGGTGAAGGAAGACAGGCCTGACACCCGCTCCAGATGCTCAACCAGGTGCGATCCTGTTCTTTTGTGCCAAAGGTCCATCCAGGGCACAACTGATTCTGGAAGTGCCATTCTTCTCAATGTAATCCAGCATTTGGTAGGGTCCATGGAAGCCTTTGCAAAGCCAATAAAACGCAGCTATGAGAGCCCTCATTCTATGTCCTTTTTTTTGAATCTGCCTTAACTTTCTGATGTACTGTTGCTACAATTTCGTAGTTATCTTCAGTAAAATTTTACTTGCATGTGATATTGAAATCATTCTATAAGTTCCCCATTCTGCTCGTATGTATTATTCTCCTTCCATCAACAAAGCAGAGCAGTTACATGCAGAAGGTCTCTCATTAGTAAATATTAGAGCCAGTATTAAAAGCCAACTTGTCAATTTGTGCTCTGCTCTTGTCTAATCTTCTATATGGAAGGAAGCATCATTTGATAAGATCCAAGGCCTACTTCATTTCTGAATTTTCCATCAAGCTCATCTTCCGCTATTAAGCATTAAT